TGGACGACGGTAGCAGCTAGAAGACAACGGTGGACGTCTAGGAAACGACGAGGAACAATGCTGCAAACGGCCGATCGCAGATAGCCACAAACCAGAGAAACGTATTCTGTCACGGAAAACACTACGCAATCAGGAGAGCGGGGGCTGGCTGACGTCTTCGAGTCTGCTGACCGTTGGACGCCTTCCCGTTCGGGGCCAAGGGCACCGACGCTATACAGCCCCTTCTCGACGTCTTGGAGGCCGGCAGGCCGCCAACGGTGACCGTTGGCGAACAATTCCATGACGCATGCTGAGTTCGGGAATTGTCGTCGAGAGGGCTGCCGTCGATGCCCCGATTCTTCCGGATGCTCGACCTCCGAGGGACCTCGGGAGGTCCCTTGGGGAACACGTCGAAATGGCTGTAGCCCGATGAATCCCCAAGGAATCCCCGAGGAAATGTTTCACATTTTTTTTTCAATTTCTTCCCCGAGGATAAGTGGAACGATGAATTCCTCGGGGGATTTACGCGCCCGAGGAGTGTCTAATGAGCCCCATACACACACACACACAATGCCAGACGGGTATGTGGGCACTTGGGGCTGAACCACACAAACGTGACCATGCTCTCACTTGCTTGCACATCTAGTTCATGTTACATACATACACACACACACACACACACACACACAATCATGTTGTGCTGCTTCGGTGGCAGACGGGTATGTGGGCACTTGGGGCTGAACCACACATATGTTACCAACCTTGCGTCTTCTACTATACTCTCTATCTATACTTCTTTTGTTTATGGATGGCTTGTGATGATTCGTGGAGGGAATAAGAGAGAATTTGGGTTTTATGAAAAGAAACACAATCATATTGTGTATATTTATTTTCTGCCTTGCTTGCCAAGTACATTTCCTGTGTTGTCCACCTCGTGCTCGCACTGGTCTTTCCTTTCTCCCATGTCTCAGTGAGCACCTTTAAGATGTGCCAAATAGTCAGTCTGTGTTTTTCGCATGGAGTGTGCCTGCAACACAATTAGGGGTGCTGCTGTGTTAGGGGTGCCCGTGTAGTGATGACAGACATTCATCAAAGTGACTCCCTGACTCTGATGCTGGTGCGAGCCTACAGTCTGTCGAGTTCTACTCGCGGTGTCAGTAGGTGATGGTCTGCCTCCGTCCATTTGGATGCATGAACTGCGGCCTTATTTGTGCTGCCCAAAATGCCTGGCCGTCCATCTGCTTGCCTTTTGTTTTTGCACAGCCAGTGCTGCCCCGCTGCCTGGCTGTCCGTGCGGTTGCCTTGTGTTCCATTGCTGCCCTGCTGCCTGGGTTTGCTGCTTGTCTGCCCAATTGCTTTCCTTGCCTTGCCAGCGCCGACCATTGTGTCCACTTGCCTGCAGGCATCGGGCTGCTACTTGTTTCACTTCCCGCCTTTCGTGCCTGCCCGTGCACCCTTTGTTTTACTTCTGCCCGCTGCCTGACTACCCATCCGTTTGCCTTGTGTTACGGCGCTGTTCGAGCATTCGCCTTGTGTTGCCTTGCGCCCGTGCTGCTTGGCTTTGCTGCTTGCCTGCCCACATGCCTCCCTTAGCTCCGCCATTCATTTGTATCCCTGTACTTGCTTTGTTGCCTGCATTGCTGCGTGCTTTGCTGTGCGTCCGCCTGCTTGATTGTTTGCTTGGCTGCTCTGCCTCCTGCCGCCTTGCTCTGTGCCCGCGCTCCCGCCCTCCCGCCGTCCCGCCGTCCCGCCCTTTGATGTCTCGTTGCTTTTCTCCCTATACAGTCACGATGTTCCCAGGACAGCACAAGGAGTCTATAGTCCATCTAGAGTCTGCTGAATCTGCTCCCTACAGTTGGACTGTTCCGACAACTGCATCTAGAGTCTATAGTACTGTTTGTTTCTAGGACTGTACTTAGACTGTACAGTTTGTTCTCTAGCACTGAAGTGCTTGCATGACTGTACGTGAAGTCTATAGCCCACCTTGAGTCTGTTACCTGTTTTCTAACTGTTTCAAGGACTGTACCTAGACCGTACAGTCCATCTAGGATGGGTCCTCAACAGTTGGACTGTCCCTAGGACTATACCTAGATGTCTATGCTCGATCTTGAGTCTGTTCCCTGCTGTTAGGACTGAACTCGGTCTGTACAGCCTGGCTAATGTCTATTCCCTGCAATTTATTACTATTATTATTAATAATTTACGATGATGATGGTTATATTATTATTATTATTATTATTATTATTTTAAGTACAAACCGTCTATGAAAACAGAGGCTCCATTCTATTGGTGGGGAGAGCTTCACCTGCTGGAAAGCGGGTCCAGCGTCCCCTGAGATACATCATTAAGTTGGTTGATCAGAAAATGCTTGAAACCGGGCCCAGCGTCCCTCATGAAACTCAAATGATGCTACTCAAATGGTGCTACCAATACTGTAAGATGATGACGATGATGATGATTATGATGATGATTATGGCGATGATGATGATGATGACGATATACTCTACTGATGATGCTTTTATTTTTTATGTAAATCGGCCTGTGCTGGAAACCGAGCCCAGCATCCCTCATAAGTTGAAGCTGCAGATGCTACTGATGATTATAATGATGATGAACTTATGAAGATGATTTTAATGTATAAAAAAATATTAAAAATCCATGTGAATCTGTAACTCTATGGGCCCCACCATCCATGCTCAGCTCCCAACCTCACCTCTACCTGACTCCTCACTCCAAAGACGATCTCATCCTGACCAGTCCCAGCAACAATTTTACCCTTACAGGGAGGTAGAAATGTCATGATTAAACCACCAGTACTTGGCCCAGCTCTCGGCCGCAGAAAGAAATAGAGCAGAAACATTTCTAGTCCGACGAATTTGGGCGCTCCTGAAGTGGCCCGTACGTTTCCTAAAATCGTGGAGCGTTAATGGGCACGACTTGAGGAAGTACTGGTGGTTTAATGAGGCAAACTGCTCCGAACAAACACCAATGACAAGGCAGACAGCTTGAATTTGCTTGAATCTGTATTTTCTTTTTTTGGGTAGGATAGGGTGCCATTGACCCTGCGCGGCCGGTCGTCCCAGGCAGGTCCCGTGCCAACCTTGGGTACCTGAGCAGCACGACTGGTAGCCCAGGTTCGGAGTCGTTTGTGAGGTTCGCCGGCCTTGTTTCCAAGTATGCAATGAAAGTATGAATTGTTCAAAAAGATGCACTCTTACACCCTATGCGCGGCTTTTCCAATCCTTGTGCATGACAGCAGCGTGCATGCAATAGGCATGTATGTGTGTTTTAGACAGACTAGGAGAGAGAGAGAGAGAGAGAGAGAGAGAGAGAGAGAGAGAGAGAGAGAGAGAGAGAGAGAGAGAGAGAGAGAGNGAGAGAGAGAGAGAGAGAGAGAGAGAGAGTTCTGTTGAGATACAACCAGGAAAGTTCAAGTTTGACTATGCCCCGACTGCCCGTTGTGGATTTCCAAACCGGGAGCGGTGACATTCCAACCAAGCAGAGCGGGCATACATAATACCGATCAGTACCTGTGCTCAAGAGCAAAGAAAACGAGTGTGATTGGGTACATAATACAGGTGTGTCTGTGGGCAAAGGTATAGTAATTAAGGGTGAGGGCATAATCCCTCAATTCTGGCAAGCATAATAGGTGTGTCTGTGGGCAAAGGTATAGTAATTAAGGATGAGGGCATAAGCCCTCAATTCTGGCGGTTCTCTTACCACCGACGAGATAGAGGGCTTACGCAAGGGCAATTTAAAAAAAACTAAAAAACTAAAAAATAAAAAATAAAAAAAGTTGGCAGCTACCTCCCTCCCACTGTTGCCTTTTTTTTTCCGATTCCAACGCTTTTATGTTTTTTTTTTTTTTTTTTTKTTAGTCTTTAGTTAGTGTCGAAAGGGCCTCGCTGCCTTTGCTTCTTCCCAGGTCGTTTGTTGAGGATTCCCGGCCTCTCCTTTGTTTCGTGCAATAAAAAAAACAAAGGGAAAATTGCATCTGTACCCCACTTAAAGATGGGACTACCCGCTCTACCCAGTCCCAGCGCGAACTTGCATCAACCCAGCATTTCCTCTGTGCGAAATTGTAGGTGTACCCTATCCCGCAGGCCCTGGGATTCAGAGCACGAAATTGTGCTCATGCCCACCTAGTAGACCGTTGTGGCCCAATGTTTGCTGGGTATGAGCATAATCTCAGCCATTCGGTAGCGGGGTATATGAACAATTTGGCAGCTCCTCCTCAGGTCCCGGGTATGCCCATAATTTTGCCTGGGTATGTCCATAATTTGTGCATTAAAAAAAAAAAAAAAAAAAAAAAAAAAAGGTCATAACTGCGATTTTGCATTACCAACCTCTGTCCACCTCGGTCCGGCCAATTTCCGCTGGCCGTTTTCTGGGTATAGATGCAAGTTGGCGCTGGGACTGGGTATAGCCTATATTCCCATCGTCAACTGGGGTACAGATGCAATTTTCCCAACAAAAAAAAAAGAAAGGGCCTCGCTCCACGTTCCAAAGCGAAAAGCGAGTGTGCAAAGTGAAACTGGATTTTTGCCCCTTCCACCCCCTGCGAACTGTGTCCCGGCCAGCAGGGGCAAGGGCAGCGAGCTGCCTGCTTCGGCGAAACGCCCCCGGTCCTGGCTGCGCCCCCATGCGCAGCATGGTATCAGCGAGTATGCTCTCACAATGCAAAACCGGATGGAGCAGACTGCCCTCACAGTTGAGCAGTCCGCCTGCCATTCATCAGCTTGAAAAAAAAAAAAAAAAAAAAGGAGGAAAAAAAGAAAGCCAAGTGGCGGTCCTCCTTACCCTACGATGGCTTTCTGTGTAACGAATCTGGCCGTGTTTAATGGCAGACACATGCCTCAAACTTAAGGGTATAGGGCATCACCCCACCACTCTCCAAATGTGCAACATGAGACTGCATCGCCTGCTAGAAAATGGAAAGAGAGTATAGGGACTTGCTCCACTACTCTTCAGATGTGCAAAAAAAAAATGATACTGAAACCTCTTCTAGAACATGGAAAAATACATTGCCATACTTTTTATCTTTTGTGCACGTGACGAATATAGCACCCATCTCACAGACGCACCCCCATTTTATGACGGAATGGGAAAAACAAGAAAACACCCCTGAAACAGGAAAGCCAGAGCGCCGCCTTCCACGAGGATCGAACTACCTCAACAATCCACCGCCGCCCGCCCTACAAGCTGCTTCAGCTACCAGTCTTAAGGACGACAGCAACCACACACTCTTTTTGCTTTCCAAAACCGCAAACGAACCTCGTCCTAGCCTCGCTGTACGGCACCTTACCCGAAATAGAAACCACGTGAAACGACGAAACGCAACCCACACAGAGCGCAGCCTCCTGGCTGCGAACTCTCCCTCATCATCCGCCTCCTTGTATAGCTCAGTCTCTTCCCATGTAGAAACGACCTCGAATGTTCTCAATGACCTGTATAATTCGATATGGGACGCTGGGCCCGGCTCCCAGCACATGCTGCTCCCCACGAATAGACTGGAGCACTTGTTCCTTTTAAAAAAAACAAAACAAAAAAAAAAGAACACACCTGGCAACACAGACTGTTCCCTTGCCACGTTACATCTGGTGGAAAGGTAAATAGTAAAATAGTAAATAGTAAATAGTAAATAGTAAACACCCAAAGTAAATAATAAATAGTAATCAGAAAATGGTAAATACCCAAAGTACGAGCAAGCACAGTTCATGCGACGAGTACTGCACCGCTAACAGGGACCAGTGCCGCTATGGGAAAAGGTAAGAGCAAGGGCGTCCGGTCCTGTGAGTGTGCTATTTCGATATTCAAAGCATTAGTAGCTGTGGGCCCGGTTCCCAGCACGTGCTGCTCCCCACCACGAATAGATTGGAGCTGCGTTTCGAAGGACCCAAAAAAAAAAAAAAAAAAAACTGCGGATTTTTGGTATTCGGCTGTGACATTGTCATTGCTGTCTGTGAATCGGCTCGATCCTCCTCTTTTCACTGTCAAAAGCACAGGCATCTCCTACTCTCCTCCCCTGCCCAACCACGGGCAAACTCTCTCCTGTAGCCATTCTTCTATTGTTTACATACATTCCCGCAATGAAAGAGTTTGCAATTTAGAAAAAAA